AGGCCGGGAACACCAGCTATGGCTAAGGAGGCCCTCCATTCAATTGGGTGGAGGGTAGAAGTGAAATAGTTGACAATGCCAGCTATGAGAATTCCAATTGTGACAAATAGTTGGAAGAGAATGTTGACTGCCTCTCTGTGTTGGACTGGTGCTATCCCTGATAACAACACTGGAACAGCCTAGAATCGAAGATCATAGTTAGGGGGGGGAAAAAATTTCCTTGTTTATCATAAACTTTATGTAAAATAAATATAACTAGGGTTGATTGAACATTAAAAATTTGAGGATAAAATCTAAAATTCTGTCAGTTAACTTCAACCCTATGATTAGTGGAGGGCAAACAAACTCACCTAGAAACTCTATTATTAAAAAATAAAATTTATTTTAGGCACAAAAAAATATACCACATTGCCAAATCCAACTCCAATGCCAAAAAGAATCCTAACAAGAATGAGCATCCATTTGTGCTCAGCAAGAGCACTGAACCCAGCTCCTCCAATGAAAAATAGGGATGCTACTAGAATTGTGGGCTTGCGACCAAATATACGACATGCCTTTGATGCACCAAAGCTTGCAACCAAAGCAGCAAGGTACAGTGATGATGTGAATAACTGAAGCAACTAATCATCATATTTGCAGTAATTGTCTTCCTTTGCATGAAGTTTCCTCTCGTGAACTTTTGGAAAGAATTTTATCAAGAAATCATCCATCGCAGTCACACCACCTATAAAGTCAAAGTCAAAATAATAAGATTTGATTATTTACTCGAATGAATTAGAAACCAAACACATGAACGCAAAATGATCATTGACACTCACATATAAATAATAATTTTGCAACAAACATCAATAAACCTTTATGAATCATTGCTTAATAATAATTGTTTCAATTATTTAGTGTATAACTTCTAGACTTACTATTTTAAAGCATTTAATAAAATAAATATATATATCTCTATGTTTTTCTAATCAAAGAATTAAATCAATATAGTTGAGGGCATTACCTGAAATTCCAATATCATAACCAAACATTAGGCCTCCAAAAGCTGCGACTATCCAACAAGCAACCACATATACAGTGATTTTCGATTTGAATACTTCTGCATTAGCCATCTTTGCTTCTCCAAATTGAAAAACACACGCACTCAAAATTATTAATCTTCTTCAAACAAGAAATCTCACGGGAGAGAGAAGACATAATGAAAAAATCTCACATAAGAGAGAAGATAGAATGAGAGAAAGAAGGGTAATTGGATGCTTTTATAACAATGAATTCCCATTAATTTTGGGATTTTGAGATGGATAGGATTTGGAAATCTTAGTAGCCTATTTTTGCTAGAAAGTAGTTCCGATGGTCAAAATCTCTTATCCTTTCTGTCAAGGAATGTAATTGTTTTTCACATGGTTCCTCGTGTGAGATATTTAGAAAATTCTTAATACATCCTATTTTTGGGATTTATACCCATTAAGTATCAGTCTCTTTTATTAATAGTCCTTAATGTATAATAAATCTTAAAAATAGAACATCTAAAATTTTGATACATCGTTTGGAATCTCTACCATTTTTCATTCTTTTTGAGTAATGCTAAAGATTTCAAAAAAATTATTAAAATTTTTATCAAATGCTTCAAATGGGTGTGGGACTCACATGTTGAGATTCCAAAAACTGGATTAAAATTTTTACCAAAAATGTCACATGGATGTGGGACACCGAAAAAGTGTACCAAAATTTCTACCAAATCTGCCCATGATAGATTTGGTTGAAATTTTAGTACATCTTTTGAGGTATCTAAGATTTTCTTTCTCTTTTGATGTGGGTCCCACACCGATGTCACATATTTGATAAAAAATTTAGTATAGTATTTTTTATTATTTTTTTTAGAAACCGTTTTTTAATTTTATAAGGTCAAACATGTTTGAATGCAGGAGTAAAGTGGATTTATTAAAAACAGTTATAATTATTATTATTTGCTTTTATATATTTTTAGTTTCCCTCCTGTTATTTCAGATAGTCATGACATGACTCATATTTGTAAAATCCGAGGAGGGAAGGAAAAAAAAAATTATGGTAAAAATTCACTATATAAAGTATTTATTATTGTCACAAACAATTAAGAAATTTGATTTCCTCACTCGCATGAAATCTTACATTCATATAAAAATATTAAGAGTAAATAATACCGGTAGTTCTTATACTTCGACCTTTGTATCATTTTAACTCCTATAATATCAATTAGTTTATTTTTTAATTTAAATTTATGATTTTGTATCAATTTACTCTAATTGATTACAATTTCTCGTATTTTTTTATGAACAATGTGCATATAAGCGACATTGGTCATGCTTTTATAGATAAAATTAAGAACTCGTGTAATTTAGTAAGTTGACGTCAATCAACTCAGTGATTTTTTTTTTTTTTTTCAAAAACCATAATCAGCGTTATAATTATATCAAATTAATACAAAATCTAAAATTAAGAATCAAAATTAAACTAATTGAAATGGCAAATACTAAGATGACACAAGACAAAATGTAGACACTATCGAGAAAATTTGTCCAAATATTAGCCATGCAATAATAAAAAATAGTTGAACCCATAATATTTTTAAAAATAATTTACACCGACACTTATAGATTTTCCCTTGACATTTAAGAAATTACGCTACACCCTAAGATTTCAATTTTTTCCTCTTCTGTTAATCCCCATTAGAAGACCTGGCAATTCTGGATAACATCAGAAATAAAAACCATCAAAATATCAATTATGACCCTCAACCCAAATGATGAAGACTTTGGATGATTTGGTAACGTAATTAGGCCTCGTTTGTTTTCGGGTATAGAGGGTGGGATGGGATTAGGATGGAAGTGGGACCCATTTAGTGTTGTGTTTGTTTGTAGAGTTGGGAAAAGGATTGAGATAGAGGAGGGGATTAGGATGGAGGTTGGAAAGGGGATTGGGATGGCGGAGGTGGAGGTGGAGGTGGAGGTAGAGATGGAGGTAGTATTAGAAAAATAGTTTGCCAGACTATAAATTAATTTTTTATTTTTTATTTTTTACATGTTAGGAATTTTTTTTGAACATTAATGTTTTAGTTTTTTGTATTTTTTTTATTTGTTTTATTATTTTATATAAAAATAATTTAACAATTCCTACACTAACAATCATCAAAATAAATACAATTTTACTTAATCCCCTCACTATCAATCCCCTCAAATAGAAGAACCAAAATCTTCTGAACCAAAGTTGAAGAAGAACCAAAATAACAAACCAAATCAGACTAGAAGTGGGACCCATTGAGTGTTGTGTTTGTTTGTAGAGTTGGGAAAATGATTGAGATAGAGGAGGGGATTAGGATGGAGGTTGGAAAGGGGATTGGGATGGCGGAGGTGGAGGTGGAGGTAGAGGTGGAGGTAGTATTAGAAAAATAGTTTGCCAGACTAGAAATTTTTTTATTTTTTACATGTTAGGAATTTTTTTTGAACATTAATGTTTTAGTTTTTTGTATTTTTTTTATTTGTTTTATTATTTTATATAAAAATAATTTAACAATTCCTACACTAACAATCATCAAAATAAATACAATTTTACTTAATCCCCTCACTATCAATCCCCTGACTAACAATCTTCTCACGATCAATCCCCTACATTCTACCTTTGAAAACAAACGAGGCCTTAGTACCTTAAATTAAAGTTTGGGGACTTCTATGTAGGTCCTAATAGGTGGACTTATTGTCCAATAGGTCCTGTGAGAATTTATGGCATTTTTCACCAAACACTATTAAAAAATATCACTAATTTTTAATTTTCAGCGACAGTTTAAAAATTGTTATAAAAAAATGTGACTAATTATAAGTTTTTAGTGACAGTTTTAAAAAATCATCACAAAAAGTCACTAATTTTTAACTTTCAATGACAGTTTAAAAAATTTGTGACAAAAAAACGTTACTAATTATAAGTTTTAGCGACAATTTATAAAAATCGTGACAAAAAATTCCTGATTGTCAATTTTTAGCGACATGTGTAAAAATTCGTCACAAAAGATTATTTTGAGCGATGATTTTATTATGACTTATTTTCAATAGGACTTGTGAATTAAGTCTAACTATTAAGACTTATTGATAATTTATCTTAAAGGATTTCTGTAAATACTCTGTTTCCGGATGGGCCACAATGACACTGAAGAAAGCAATTGCTGATAGTTTTTTCTTAGATAATTGTGGGTAAGGGGTTGGATAATTTTTCTGCATGTATTGACGGGTACAATTATATTGGTACCCATATCTACCCCCCACCACACACACACACACAAAACAGAGTGCTCTGTTTTGTTGTTGCAGGAATTTTGACTATGTTCTAGTTACACATTTCATGTGCACCTTGAAAGGAAGAAGGGGAACTTGTATCAAAAGTATTATGCATTAGAATGAGCCACTATAAGGGTTTATACAAGAAAACAATTCACAGAAATAAGAAATGAAAGTTGTCATGTGTATAATTAATTATAGAATCATGTTTTGTAATTTTTATATAATTCGATACTTAAAAATGTATTGAAACAAGGGAATAGAGAAATTCAAGGATAACTAATCTTTGGTTATCTTCAACCACTGTTGTCCAGTGTATACATTGACTATCATTACATTGCAAGTATATAATTGACTTGATTTTTAATTATATTCATAATAATGTGTAGGATTTTAGACGGGAAAAAAGTGAAGAAAATGTTTTTTTTGTGTTTTTGTTTTGGAAGTGTACTTTTGACTTTGTTAGAAAGTGTATATTAAATCATTTTTGGTTAGTTTGGATGAATTTTTTAATAAAATAGAACAAAGTGTTCAATAGTCAAAATCACAACGAGACTTTTTGTATATTAATTGAAGTATAGGAGATGAAATGCAATGATCCAAATCACAATAAAGTAAATTCTCCCCAAAAAATAGTGAAAAAAGTCCCCATTTGCATATAGAATGAGAGCCAAGGATTATAACCATGCACATAAATAAAAATTTTATTTGTATAACATTATTCCTTACAAATCCTCAAGTAAATTAGCTGAAAGAAGCAATAACAATTGGCCTCAGTCAACCAACAAAATCCGTATACAATACAAAGGCCCTGCCTTTGAATCTGTATATAATCTTTCTTTTCTTTTTTTCTTTTTTTGATTCTTTTTATACAAAATTTAAATTTCCAACAATTGAACTAACTGCGTCTGAAGTATTTTCAGTTGAATCATACTCTGAAGATTTCGTATGAACAACTACTTCCATGCAATTTTACCAGTAACACAGAAACTAAACAACAAAACAAACACAAAATACTCATGAATAGACAAGATAGAGTCTTCTGCTTCACAAAATCTTGTCAGTCCACAATAATTCTGTGTCTGGTTCCATTTTCTGTGTTCCCAAACTTATTCATTTCCATGAAAGGAAAATCCGAAAGGGCGGATCATATGAATATATAGATTTAGGGCATATTTTGGCTTCTTGGACCGTCATCGTCCATGAACTTCCTCCAAACTGGATGTTGCTTCCAGACCCTCTCATTCATGACATCTATGGGGACACCCTTTGTCTCTGGCAATAGGAACATCACGAAAAGTCCCATGACCAAAATCCAAGCCGAGAAGAAGAGGAATATGTACGCTTGCATGTGGCATAGCATTGACAAGAATGCTTGAGCTATGATGAAAGTGAAGAGCATGTTGGAGCTGACAGCAAACGCGAAGCCTGCAGTTCTTGTCTCAACGGGGAATATTTCACTAGGTATCAACCAACCGAGAGGTCCCCATGACCACGCGAACGACATAACAAACAAACAAACCAGTACCACCACAACAGCTGCAAGGCCTCTGTCTAGAGTACCTGTTGTTTTTAGGTGACCTAGTAAAATCCCTGCAATTGCTACCTGTATTTTGTTCGAGTGATGAGTGTCTGAAATTTCAAACTAAGAAAAAGAGTACTAAAAAAGCCTAGAAAATGATGATGTTTATTCAAATTTGACATGGTACAAGTCACACCTACGTTAAAAAGGACAGACTGGTGCATAGAAGAGGACAAGTGACCTATTTCTTTCTAAAACAAAACAAGACCAGAGTAGGGGGGGGGGGGGGGGGGGGGAAAAAAAAAAGGGGGGGGAAGAAAAAGAAAGAAAGAAAATCAAGTGTACCTGGCAGACGAACATCTGAACACAAGCTTGAAGAAGCAACTTCCTCCTTCCAAGCTTATCCACAGCATAAATGGACACAAAAGTACTCAAAACATTCACAATCCCAGTAATAACAGCAGACAACAATGAAGCATCATTTTTAAACCCAACAGTCTGAAACAAAACTGGTGCATAGAACATAATTGCATTAATCCCAGTAAACTGCTGGAACACTTGCATCATGACTCCGATTATCAGCGGAGGCATGCTCGACCGCTTCATCAACTTCTTGAATGGGTGTTTGATCAATTTAGCTTCCTCGCAAGCCTGTCTTATCTGGTCGAACTCGGCATCGACTTCATCAATGCCTCGGATCTTTCTCAAGGCTGCTCGGCCTGCCATGTCGTTGCCTCGCTCAATGAGGCTGGTTGGAGTTTCAGTGATGACTAGGGAGCCGATGAAGAGGACTAAGGCTGGAGTGCCGGCGAGGCCTAGAGAGACTCGCCAGCCGTTGGGGTGAATAGATGAAGTGGCATAGTTTACGAGACTGGCAAAGAGGATTCCTATGGTTACGAAGAGTTGGAAGAGGATGTTTACGGCTCCTCTGTGTTCCACTGGTGCTACCTCTGATAAGAACAATGGAACTGCCTGCATTTTGCAAAGGAAAAATATAAACCATATGTGACAATAATATTTTTTTACAGTAGTTATAATGATACAATGATAGAATTTTTGATTTGTGGTGAATAAATGTAACTGGACCATATTATTATGTGTCAAGTTTTTGTATAGCATTACTATTTTTTAAAGAATTAATACATTTTCCATCACATAACGTTGTTATTTTTTTTTCTTTTTTTTATAGAAAATAGGACATGTATGCATCACGCCTCGTAAAGAAGCTCCCTCATCAGGCCAACCCCATTGATCTAAACCAAAAAAAAAAAAATTTTTTTGCATTGGTAGGATGTCAGAGCGGTCGGGGATTAGCAGAAGGGGATCGCCGTCAACTGGAGAAGGTTGGCATAGAGTGTTAATAGGAAAGGTGGCCTGCAGTCATAGGTCACCAGATGGAAGAAAAAGAGAAAGGAATGAAAACGTTTTTAAAAACAAGTAAAAACAGATTTTTCTTTAGTTTCCTAAAATTTTGAAAATATTGAAGAAAAAAACAAAAACACAATCCTTTATACCTCATTGCCAAATCCAACACCAATGCCGAAAAGAATCCTGCCAATAATGAGCATCCACGTATCCTGAGCGGCGGCACTGAGAAGAGCACCGGCCATGAAGAAGGTAGAAGCAACTAGAATTGTGGGTTTTCGACCAAAAGCACTGCAAGCCTTCGAAGCACCAAAGCTCGCAATCAGAGCAGCAAGGTACAGTGATGATGTGAATAGCTGAAGCAACTGATCATCATATTTGCAGTAATTGTTTTCCAGTGCATGAAGTTTCCTCTCATGAACCAATGGAAAGAATTTTATCAAGAAGTCATCCATTGCACTCACACCCCCTATACAAAAAATCACAACACAACAAATGTATGTTAGGACGAACACATAATTAAAACACAGAAAAATATGTATCGTACCTGAAATTCCAATATCGTAACCAAACATTAGGCCTCCAAAGGCTGCAAGAATCCAACATGATACAACATAAAGGGTGAGTTTCGATTTGAACTTGCCATCGCTACTCGTCATCTTCACTTCTCCAAGATGTAAAAATTCACTATACAAGAACTAAAAAAGATATATTATAAATAAAAAAAAATTGTTTTTGAAGTTCAATATATATCTGTATGTACTCAGAGAGAGCAGGATGTAGATTTATATCAATAGAGAAAGACTGTGCACACTTTTATATCGGAACTTTTACTAATTTAGGGTGCCTTGAATTCGGATAAAATTTGGAATAAATTCATGGATGTGAGTTTGAAGAGAAATTTGTGGGTATGAGCTTTGTCTTTTTTGTTTATGTTTTTTGAAAGCAGTTAGAGATAAGTTCCACCTTATGCGTGCAAATGATTTCTTACATGGTACCAAATGTTCAAAAGTGATTTCTAAATATGGCTCAACATTTATCTCTAAACTTCCTTATGTGTTGATTTTTGTTAGTTTGGAATCGGTTTCACTTCATTCAAAGTCCTATTTACAAAATTGGACATAAAATTTACATGAGTGAACAATTTTTTAATGAGTCTCATTTATAAATTTACATGAGTGGTTTATGATCGATGTGTGGCATGAACTAAATGGTGCCCTATAGATACCAAATAATTTTTCTAATATAATATGCTTGTGCATTTGCACAGATACATTTGGGTCAAGTTGGATATTATGTATACAAAATCATTAGGTCACCTAACCAGGCTATTAAGAAGAAAAAAAAATTATTCTCAAATGCCCTAATTTTTTAACCAATTAGACTAACGTACATTTTTATTTAATTTCTCCTCTATTATGAAATTTTTTGTATTTTTTATTTCTTTCTCATTATATGGCTCTTTTTGAGAACGATTATTGGGCTGATTGTTTCTGACACATTATGGAGACTAGCTTTTGTTTCTTACCCACAATAGAGCTTCTGGTTGGTTTATCTGTTTGACTTCACACACATTTTTTGTTTGATTGAGGGGTGTTTTGAAAAGTTGGTAAAAAATTGATTTTTGGCTTTTTATCAAGCTTTTTAACTTGTTTGGAAGTGATTTGGGAAGTTAGTAAAAAGTTGACTTTTTTTATTTTTGATTTAATATTTTTTAAAAATGTCACATCATATCAAAATGACCAAAATATCTTTACTTTTTTATTTTTAAATTAATTAATTAAAATATTCCAGAGGGTAGTTTGATAAATTTGGATGTTGCTTTTTTAGGTCTTTTCAAATGAGATTTCCAGCGTTTTGGCCAAGCTTGGCGTTTTTGAGCAAATGGCAAAACGTAACTTTTTTTTTGTAGGTTGCCAAAACGGCACTGAGTTTCAAAATATGCTTCCAAAATTTTTGAAAAATTACAAGTTAGTTTGACCTCAAAAAAAATTAAAAACTAAATTTTTGAATTCTTAAAAATTATTTCCATCCTCAAATAAAAAGAAAATGATATAAAAATAATGAATTTTTGATTTTATTTTTTCATTTTTTTTCACCAAGCTAATTTACGAAAATTTCTCAAAAAATTAAACCAAACAAAACCTTAATAAGATAAAGGGTAAGTTAATTTTTATGATAATACCTTTTTAATATTATGAGCTGATAAAACTTAAAATAAGTTGTAAATTTATTTGATGCATCTTGTGAAAATCCGTTAAAAAAATTTATACACGTTTTCGGTAAATAAGTCACATAGCTTTTGTGTTACCCAAATATTTAGAAGCTTCAAATAAATGAAAAAACTACAATTTTAACTTAAGAAAATCTCGAATGGACAATTGTGCTCAATGACTAACAAAAACAATTAAACATTGATAAAGAAATTAGGGTCATGCTTAAGTGTGCAACCCCCTTAAAGTTGCACACCATATACAACCCAATTGTTAGCCGTTAGATTACAATAATTGATCAAGACCATTGAATTGTTTAATCCTGAAAAAGTTGAAACCGGGGCAACCGGTTAATGCTTGTATTTGCATGATTGCATCCCACTCACTCTCTGTATTTCGTCTCTATCTCTCTCTGTTCTCCTCTCTGTGTAAGGTTGAGTCAGTGTAACCGTTGATTTCCATTACAGGGAGAAGCCCCTGTTGGGTTCGTTCCATTGACGAAGCTCTGTAGGGAACAGTATAACGGGCGATTTCCAACAACAACGTAACTAGAAGGCTGCGTTGGTTCCATTGCTGAAGTGAAGCCCTTCTCTCGAACTAGATATGAGGTATGGAGCTGTGTCCCTCTCTCTGTCTCCCTCTCTGTCTCTCTGGCCCGTTCACTTCAGCTATTTTCCCTCAACTAAACCCCCATCCTAACTTCAACCGCTCTACGCTTCGCTCCAACGGAAACCCCTCCATTGGCAGCTAACCTTTCTCTTTCTCTTTCTCAAGCGAGTGCTTGTGTTTGTGTTTACACAAACATGACATGAAAATGTCATGTTTGTGTTTGTGTTAACAATTTTCGGTCATCAAGTAATATTAATGCCCACTTTATGAGAAAATTTCTTATTCAAAACTCAATGCTTTCCGCTCATACTTTGTGTTGTAACCTTCTCACTTAAGAGAATACAAAATCACTTGGATCCAACTCAATCGATGATTAAGTCCCACTTTAATTTAACATTAAAGCTGCTAAAAAACATTTTCCAACACTTGCTCCGATCACTTTGTAATTCTTTACCACCTCAAATGTCTCCTCTCCTTTTATTGGTCTTTCTCTACTCATTACTACCAAAGCTTCCTGATCTGGACTTAGATCTTCCAAAACTAGACTCAGATCTGCTACACACAATTATCTAATGCCCTTTTAACGTGTTGATCCACGCTATGCAACCATCCATGGTCCATTAGGATCAATTGTTCTTCTCTATTAGGGATTGCAGCATTCCAATCCAAGAGGGGGTTTGTAGAAGGTTATGGTGGGATTTCATTTGGTGTGTTTGATTTTCATTTATTTTTATACATTTTGTTTGTTCGTGTTATTATGCTTCCCTCTAAGATGTTACAATGTGCGCCCTCAAAAAGGTGCATATGGAATGCTTTTCATAACTTTTTCACAAATTTCACGTCGAGAGGGAAAATTTTGTAATAGTCCCCAGCGGAGGTGATGCATGTTGTAGACGCGCCCTTGGGCCTCACTACAGTTCGGACTCAAATTGTCACGGTCCTGTATCTAATCTCGCAGAGTGCAATGCAAGACCGATGAATCAACAAAGAGTCCAAATCCGGCAAATCGTTTTTGAAAACAGATTTTTTGAAAGAAGTGTCAAACATGGACTGCTTTCCAGATACAGAGTCGCCACCTAAACATTTTATTTTGGGAAATTTAGGAAACCCTGACTCGTTGCCTAAGGCCACGTGCCCGTCATCACCAAAGTTGCCTCGGCTCGGGAACTTGGGGTACGATTAGGGAAGGTCACTTCGTGACCACCCCCACTCGCCCGATCAAAGATCGGCCTCTACTAACCATGATATCTAGTTTTGAAAACATTATGCGTTCTTATTCCGGTTATTAGCCTAGATTTACTATGTGATGCGCACAGCATACAAGTATAGACTGGATCGCCTGAATTGGAACGAAACATCTCATGTTTGTTTTGAAAACGGGTTGCTACTCGCAAGTAGGCTAAAATGTGGATTTGCCACCCTCAGGTGGTCTTAGAAAACAAGATGATTTGCCATTATCTAGTGGGCTTAAAACTCACATTTGATGAATTGTTTCAATCCAAATAACCCAACCTTCGCCCACAAGCATTCAGGTAGTTATATCACATAAGCAGTTAGCCTCATGGTAAGCATGCTATCATGGCAGTCACTCACACGCATGCAAGGATGCTAAAGCGTAAAAATTACCGAGTATTCCAAGCCAAAACAGAAGCTGATTAGAAATCATGCATGATCCTAAATATATAGAAATGCTTAATGCAACACATGCAAAATGCAACTATAGTAGGCTTGGCTATTCTAAGGATGGTATGTGAAACGCTATAACTAACAAGCATTCAACTCGGAATTGAAATACAATGCAGTTAGTATGATGCGCCGAGCCCGGTGCATGCAATACAGATGAATGATGCAAACATGCAAGCATAAGTATGCTAATTGAAACATGCCCTAATCTAACCATCATAAGCGGGTAAATAAAAGGGAGAAAGACGTGGGGTTGGAAGACATACATCACACGCACGCACACTTATTACAATTGTGCCCTCGCTCAGAGGGTCCGAATAAATAATACAAGCCGCCTAATTAACTAGCTAACAAGCTACTTAATTATTACAAAACCCTATGAATAACTAGTTACAACTAATTATTACACAACTTAATTAATTAACAAATTAATTATTACAAACAACAAATGCTAACTAACTAGTAAGCAGTAAAAGAAAATTGCTCCAGCTTTATTTGAAGAAGAGGAGGGTATGCATGCTCGCTTCGGTTCCTTGCCTCGAAACGCCTTCCGGTTGCTCTTTAGAGGCTCTGTTTGCAGGGTGTCTTCCAGTGTTTGTTGCTATAACTTACCAAAACACAGCTGGGGAATTCACCAGTGATCTGCCAGCCATGAAAGGAGAGATGCCGGCCAACAACAGGGCACTACCGGCCAAGGGTGTGACACTGCTGGCCATCAGTGGTGCACTGCCGGCCACTGGTGTGCTGTGACACCAAACTGCAACAAAGCACAAAATAGAGGAATAGGAGAGTCTCCCAAGGGTATATACGCATTATGCCACCCCAAATCACCTCAAAACATCAAGGGAGAGGCCTAGTCGGATCCATGACCATTAATCACGTATCCCGATGCATGATGGCCAAAGATCCAACTTGTGCAAATCAATATGGAAATGAATGCACAAATAAAGCAAGTAAAGCCTAGAACTCTATCATGAATCATCAAGAGCTTCGGCGACCGAGAATTGAGACACGTTTCATCACTCGGTATATGAAATGCCCCTCGTTCCTCGTGTTCAGGTTAACACTTAATCCAAACAATGCAACGTGTAAGGATGGCAAACATGCAATGTGAATAAGCTAACAAGGCTAATGACATGCAACAGGCACATAGGCATGATGTGAGGTGACAACCTTGAACAACATGGCAAAATGCAACATGGATATGCAAACATGCAAGGCACGCAAGGATGGACAAGTATGCAACAACATACAAGATGAAACAAGCATGCGGCAACATGGTAAGATGGGCTTACACAAAAGATGGATAGCTCTCAAATAGGTCCAAATCAGTAGCCATAAGTGATGAATTGATGGCATGAAAAGCATGAAATGGCAAGGCAAACATGTATGCC